GTATTAAGTATAAGTTTGTATTTTATGTGTAATTAAGATTTGATTAAAATAAGAAGTAAAAAGTAAGATAATAAATTATATAAATCTATCAGAATATGTAATCATTAAAAGTATAGACTAACATAACAATATTAATACTATTATATATTTTAAACATATTTTAAAATAGAATCTATAAATTATTATAATAAAATAAAGTATTATATCAAGGATATAAATTAGCTCAAAAATGTTTCTAAATAGTAAATTTGCAAAATTATTATCCTGAAAATATTATATTTAATAAGGATATTTAAAAAATAACTATTATTTAATTTAATTACAAATTTTTTAGAATATTTGAGAAAAGTAATTAGATATGTATAATTAAAGTTAAATTACTATAGCTTAAGTTTCAGAATAGAATAAATAAAAATTAAGTTTTATCTATGAGAAGTTATATCTTTAGAAAGATAATAATAGGTGATTTTTCAAAATATTTAGTAGTAATTAGATTTAGATATTTTAACATTTCATTTAAAATCTTCAAGGGATTAGGAACTTTAATAATAGGTAATATTTTAATATATTTGTTCATTCTTTTTCATTAAGAGATCATATAAAATTATTATTGCTTAAGTTTATGTCATCTAATAGTATATAGGTATCTTTTCAAAAATTTAATATATCAGGATTAAAGTATTTAGAGCCAAATACTTGTTAGAAATATCAAATAGTTTTTTTTTAATATTTATAGGATCAGTTAATAATTCTTTCTTTAAATTATTATTATTAATACATCTATTAAATAAGATTGTAATATAAGATTAATTTAAAAGAAAATTAAATATGATAAATTGATTAAAAATATAGTTAAAAAAATATCATATAAAAATTTATTAGTTAATTAATAATATTAATTTTATATAATTTAACAATTTATATTAAAAATATTACTTAATAAAATTTTGAATAGAAAAAATTTTAATTATTATAAACTAACATTAAATTTTAATTTTCTTTATATGATAATTCTAATAAGCTAAATTTTATCAAAATATAACTATTTAATCAAAAAATACAATTAGATTTATTTTATAAATATTATTTTATATTAATTATAAATAATAAAACTTATATACTATATAATCACCTGCAAATAAATATTATATTATAATAATTATAAATAATAAAACTTATAAATAATTATTTATAATATAAATATTATATAATTATAATTATAAATAAATTAAAATTTATATTATAATAATTTATTTTTATATTATTGATTTTTATTATTTAATTTATTTAAATTAGAAAAATAAAGAATTTTAATATTATTTATAATAAAAAAATATTATATTATTTAATTATTACAATATTTCTATTAATAAAATTTAATATGTTATATTATAAAGATATTAATAGAAATTGTTTTTTTATTTTTTATTTATGATTTTTAAATTTTTGTATATTATTAAATAGTATTTAAAAATAATGTAACATATTTAAATAAATTATCAAAAAGATCTTTAATATCTTTAAGTTCAATATCAAATTCTATATTAATTTGATTAGATGAAACTTTTTTTTGAATATAATTTATAAATGATAAAATTTCTATTTTAATCTAATAATTTAAATAATATATTTTAAAATTTATATTAAATTAATTAAAATATAAAGAATAAAAAAAATACCAAAAATTTTTTAATTATATAATACAGAAAATTTATATTTAATAATATAAATGTAATACTTAAAAAAATTTTCAATTCTTTAAAAAATAAAATAAACTATAAATTTTATTCTTTAAAATAAGCTCTATTAAATTACTAGTCAGTTTTTCAAATAAGTTTTATATAAAAAGTTATAGATATTTAGAATTGGATAATTTTTATATAATTATTTTAAATTTGAAACATATATTATTAATTGAAATTTATAATAATTTGAGTTAATATTATGATAATTAATCATAATATTAATTTGAATTATTATAATTTTAAAATAATATACAAAAAAAATAATTAATATCTTATTTTTCATTAATTAATTACTAATTATATAATATAAATTCACAAAAAATTTAAAATATTATTGAGTTAAGACTTTCAACTAGTAATATAAATTCAAAATATTTTTATAATTATAAAATATAGTATGTGTAAAACTCTTGTATAATCAAATGTATATTATATGTAAAAGTAAAATAGAAATAGGTGTAATTATAATTTAATATACATTATCTTTATTATGTAATTCTAATTTATATTACTGCTTTTAATATCATATTTGAAATAATAAAAAATGATTTAAATAAGAATTTTAATATCAATTTTATAATAATTCTGATAGTATTCAAGCAATAATTTTAATATTAATATTATTTTTAATTTTAATAATATTAATAAATTTATAATTAATAAGTATTTATTAAAATAAATTAAAATTTAAAGATAAATACCTAATTTTGAAATATAAAATTTATTATATTTAAAGTTAAAATAAAATATTTTTTAAATTATCTAGTAGGTAAATTTGCTTGTAAATTTAAAAGAAAGTATTAATTTTTTAATAAAATATTAAACATAATTTAGTAATATAATGATTATATAAAAAAATATATTTTATTAACTTTATTAGAAAATTTTAAGTATATTAGAACGTTTTTTTAAATAATTCAATTTAAAAATTAAATTTTAAAATATTTTTTAATAATTTATTTAAAATTTATATATTTACAAATTAATTGAATTATTTTACTACTAATAAAAGTTATAAACTTTCTTAATAATTATAAAAATTATAATATTTAAAATTATTCTTTTTAATAAATTTTATAATATTCTATTATAGTTAATCTAGTTAAAAGTAAATTTTAAAAATATTATTAAAGGTTAATAATAAACTTATAATATAAATTTTTTTTTTAAAAAATTATAATTTTTAGCTTATTAGTAAGTAACTTTAAATTATTTATTATATAATTAAAAAATAAAACTATTACAATATAATAAATATTTCTAAACTTAATTTAAAAAAATTTAAATTTTCATAAAAGTAAATCAAAAAAATTTTATAGTAATAAGTTAATAAATTGTTTGTGAATCTCTATAATTTAAGAAATTATAATATTTTTAAAGATAATTATAAAAGCATTTTTAAGCAAATAATATTTTTAGTAAAAAAATAATGATACTATTGAAAATTACTATTTTAATTAAAAAATTAAGTTTTATTATGAAATCTATTATAAATTAGTAAAATCAGTTAAATTTAAAATCTAAAATTAATTAAAATAATAAATATACATATACTACTACATATAGTATTCCCTAAAAATAATATACCTGTGATTAATATCTAGATACTATTTATTATCTATATTGACCTAGTCACAAATAGTATTCAGATATTTTTCAAAGCTAAACTTGTGAAAATTGATTAATACCTAGATATAGCATTATGTCTTCAATATTAACTTTTCCTATTACTTAAACGTTTTTCATAATTTTTATATAAAGTGAAGAAAATTATTAAGTTTTTCTCAATATTTGCGAAGCTGTATTGAAGAAGAAAAGTAAAATTTTTTTGATATTTATTTATTAAAGTTGTGTAATTGTAATCTCAATATACAATATTTTCTATATATTGTATCTCCCTTAAAATAGTACCCAGTTCCTCAATTAGTATCTGTAGGTACTATTCAATTTGAAAAATCACATTTATAATTAAGATCCTGGGTACTATATGCAGTAACATATGGTAATTTGTTAAATAAATATATTTAATTAAAGTTATATTATATTTATGATTATATAAACTTAATATATTAATAGTTTTTGTAATTATTTTTTATAAAATTTTATCTTTATTAGCATAAACAAAATAAATTAGATAATTTTTATTTATTGTATTATATTTTTAATATTAAATTTATTAAAAAATTTTAATATATTATATTTTTTTAATAATAGTTATTGATTAAAGAAAGGATTTGTATTTAATCAATATATAAATATTAATAATCATAAGAAAAATAATATTATTGTATATTAAAAGAAATTTCTTTATTATTTAGGACATTTGCATTTATTAATTTGTAATTATTAAAATTTAATACTAAAATTTATTGATATTACTCATTATAATTTATTAATCCAATAATAAATAAAAATCAATAAAATAAACAAAAAAAAAATTAATATATATTAATAATATTTTAAATTATATAATTGAAATGAAGTAAAAAATTATCACAATTTTAAACAAACTCATTATAATGATTGATCAGATATTTTAATATGTTTAGAAGATGATCCGAAAAAAATCTAATAAAAATATTATCTAATGATCTTTTGTTACACGTGATGTAACAGGGAATAATGTTTGTGCTAATCGTATAAATTATTTGTTTTGAAATAGCTTGCATAATTAATTAGACTTATACATAAACCGTAAAGTATTGACAATGGATGATGCGGGCACCTTTGATCATTCCTTTTTTAATAACAATTTCAGTTAATTCAGTTTAAATTAAATTTCACGATGCAAAACTGTACGAATCATTATCGAACTTGAAGACCCCCATGCAAAAAGGACTGCATTTCTAATTATAGTAAAAGACCCGGGAATACTGCCATTTATGGATGAGGTATCTTTAAGCAACGTCACGAATGGTCTGATTTCAAAAATGTGGCGGTTTGAAATGGCGTTTAAAAACCTTACTCTTTTTGTTTTGATCATATGGATATATTGATTGTATTTTTTTTTTTTCAATAGTGATATCACTGCTAGAGTTTAATCTATTTCGGAATTTTCAATGGTTTAGAACGAAAAAACCGAGATTTTCAAATTTTTTTCTTTTGAAAAACAAAAAGAATTTAGAAAATTAATTTATCTAACGCCTGACCCGATAAATCTTTACAGGCTAACATTAACGAATTTACACCAGTAGCATCCCTTTATTCGGAATTTTACTACACTCTTGAAGAATATATTGTGAAAAGATTTTATATATGGCGGACCACCATCATCCCGAAAACAATGGAAGCCCTCTATCTACACCTTTTGAAGAAGAGCACATCCAATATCAGAATGGAAATTCCGCTGATATTAACAACACTGATTTAGTTTACCAAAGAATGAACACAGACTTTAGCGTCGGCGCTGATTTATACACAAGAATGCATTCTGATGTTTACACTCACCACGCAGATACTCAATACAATGTAAATTCTTACTCGCAACCACCAAATGAGATCGTGGATCGCGAAGTTGTCATTGAAGAAAGTCCAAACTTAAGATATGCTAAGGTAACAAAGTGCCAATTGATCTTTTTTTGTTTTTTAAAGCCAATGATTTCTTTTTTTTTTATATATAAATATATATTTAATTTGAACATTGACCGCTAAACAATTCTTTATCATGACTTCATATTCTAGTTAAATACAATTTTAGGAAAGGGCGCTTATAAAGTTGTATATAAAGCTATAGATCGTGAAGAAGGTTATGAAGTCGCGTGGAACTGCTTTCAAGTAAGACGCGCCCAGCACTAAATGAATCACGGTTCAAAATTACTTATGTTTTTTTACCTTGCTTACTTAATTGTGTTATAGACCACAAGAGCAGAATTCAATGACTTGAGCCAAGAAATTAAAATATTAAAACAAGTTCGACATCCTAATATTATTAATTTTCATGATTGTTGGTACAAAGATGCTGAGTTTATTTTTGTTACAGAATTAATGACTTCAGGGACGTTGCGGGAGTGAGTTGTTCTTTCTATGTTTCATTTTATGAAATAATCAGGAATTAACGGTGATATTTTATCGAATATTATTATTTTAAAACAATAACGAATATATACACACATATATATTTTTATTAGTCAGAGAATAAAAATTACCGTTATTCTTTTAATTATATATATACATACTCATTAATCTATTTAGATACATTCGAAAACTTTCATTGCCGAATATGAAAATAGTTAAACGATGGTCTCGTCAAATACTTAAAGGGCTGATATACCTTCATTCACATAATCCACCTATCATTCACCGCGACATCAAATGTGATAACATCTTCATCAATGGCGCACACGGTGAAGTTAAAATTGGTGACATGGGAACCGCCAAGATGAAGTTGGGAAAAAAGTATACCGTCATCGGTATGCAGTAACATCATCCCAGCCGGGTTTGCTATCGTGGTTTTACATATATTGGTACCCGGTACCTCTTCACTCGGCGATCTAAATGATTGTTGCGACTTATTGTTCGTAAATTATAAATTAAAATGTAGGAACTCCCGAGTTCATGGCACCTGAAATGTACGAAGAAAAAGGTTATAACGAAAAAGTCGATATCTATGCGTTTGGCATGTGTCTTCTAGAAATGGTTACTGGCGAATACCCTTACGGGGAATGTAAGAATGCTGCACAGATTTATAAAAAAGTTTCTCAGGTAATATATAATTAATCAATAATTATTCTTTATTCGTTTCATTTTATATATTTTTTAATTTCAAATTGTCTCTTATGATATTCAAAGGGTACTAAACCGGAAAGCTTAAAAAAAGTACAAGACTCCGAAGTTCTCGATTTGATAAACAATTGTCTAGCTGCGGAAAATGAGAGGTCGGAATTAGATTTTTTCCCCCCTTTTCAAAGAAATTTATATTTCATTATTCTTGTTTATTGAATATTCACTCAATCATATGATTAACATTAGTCATTATCCATTTTGAATTATTAAGATTCACTGCACAACAAATAATGGATCATCCTTTCCTCACTGTCGAACCAGAAGTGGTGTTAATTAAAGCAGACGATAATAAAACTCAGTTAACATTACAAGTCGTATTTAAAGGAATGGATAAGCTATCGGTGAAATTTGAGTTCAACGTGGAAAGAGACACAGCAGAAGAAGTGGTTAACGAAATGGTAAATAAATTATATCCATACATATAAACATAAGGCTCTAATTTTTTTATTACAAAAACTTTAATACAGATAGAGGAACAAGTGCTTCCAGAGAAGTACCAACAATTGATTACTCATGAAATAAATCGTATTTTACGGGACATCAGCAAGCAATCAAATGAAGACGATCCAAATAAAGAAGAACATAAAACACCGTGGCCAAGCCACGGTGGAATGTCGCCACATTTGACACCTCATAAGTCTTCTCATGGTCCATCTCCTTCACCAATTAATTTGGAACGTGACAGTCCTAATGGAACCATTACGCAATCATATCCTGTACAACCAACAATAATGCCAACCGAGTCGCCACGAAAGAATTCAATTTCTGGCCAACCACATGATTGGTCCGATTATGAAGATACAATTCCAGCCAAAGGTTAGTTCTATATTTATTTATATGGAAGTTTTCTTAGGAACATGTCTTCTAATCAAAAGTGAGATTATTGCTATTGTAAGTTCACTTTCATCACGTTATTTATGATTATGTTTTAATTACAGAATATCCGGATAAAACTCCGATTAACCAATTTGTTTGTGACGTTGCAATTGCAATCAACCGAGACGTGGATAAAGCAAACGATTGGTCGGAGAAGTTAAAAAGTCAGGACGTTATGACTGTTGGCGATTTACGTGCACTAACAAACGAAGATTGGACACAAATTGGATTAACAGTCTTTGCGATACGTGTCCTTAAGAATGCCTTACATGGTAAGACATTGCGCAGTCCATATATTATTCCTAGGACAAATAGTGCAGCCAGTACAAGTACAAGTGGTGGAGAGGAAAACCCTCAGGAATGATTTCCATTTGCCTTCATATGTAGGCAAATTGTGTATGATTTTTGTATTCTTTGATTTAAACCTACACGAAATATTTTTTACTTTGCCTCATACAAGTTTTTTTTTTTCCTTTTTTTTGTCTAGTATCTAAATCAAAGGAGAAATAAAGAAATCACTAGCAAGTTCTTTCTCAACGTTGTGCAAAATATGCCCTTTCGGATTCCATCATCACAAATCTTTCATTTATTTCGACTTAATTAAACCTCATAACACTCCCGTCTCATATCCCGAACATCCATAAAATATATAAACATTAATTTCGAATTCATATATTCATCAATTTCCGTTTTTTTTTTCCGTTTCCTTATAACGTATACATGCTGGATAATGGGAGGGCTTATGACTTTTTCTGCTTAGTGGCTTCTTTGTTTTCTTGTCTTAAAAATTATTACTTTAAAATAGTGTAGTATATAGTAGTATGGATTTCTTTCGTTGAGTAAACGACCACTCAATTTTGCTTGCGGAGAGATACTGTATGTAAAAAAAAAATACATATATATTAGTTTCCTTTGTATTTATCTTATTTGTTTTTACACAAAACAACCAAAAAAAAAAAAAAAAAAGGAAAAAAAAATTATTATTATAAAATATATTTTGTCTCTCCAATTTTTTTTTTTTTTGCTTTTAGAATATTATTAATATTATTTGATTTATCTATATATATTATCTATTTTTTATATTTTTTATTTATTTATATTTATTTATTTCCTCTAAAAAAAAAAAAAAAAATTTATATCAAAAAATCGAAAAACTTGTTAAAAACGCATAATGTGAAACAGGATTCTGATTGGTTTTAAACAATTAAAAGATTATCGCTAAAATTTGTTAAAAAATAAAAAAAAATGTCCTTCAAGGGGAAAAAACGAAAAACGGTCGAAGAAACCAGAAATTCTGCAAGTTGATATATATATTTTTTAAAGTTTTTAGTTTTATAAAGCCAAGTTAAATAATAGTTTGTTGCCAAACAGACTTCAAGAAAAGAATCAGAACTCGAACGAGAACAGTTAGTACAAATTAAAGGATTGGAACAGGACATTTCAATTAGCAAATCTAGCTATAACAACATAGTTACATTACTTGAATATACTAAGGTAAAAAGACAAGTAAATAAATATAAATTATTGAATAAATAAAACTTAAAAGATTTTTTTTTCATTGACAGAATGATTCCTCTAAAGTAATTCATACAGCAATATATGCATTATATCGGTCCTTTACGCCTCTACTTTCTAAAGGTGATTTACAAAAACCTAAGGGTCCTGAAAATGATAAAGAAGGACTGATAAAAATTTGGCTTCGAGATAAATATATTCAATATGTCAATACATTATGTAGTTTACTAGGAAATGAAGAGCCAGGTTTACAGGTGTTTAATGTTTTTACTTTAATTGGTGTTAATCATAAATAATTTCGATGATTAACATACTTTGTTTAATGGTAACAAAAAAGATTCCATCATTAAATATTTTATTGGACCTACTTAAAATTGAGTCCATGTATCATTCTTCATCATCTGGTACACATCAATTTTCCAATAATCATTTTTATCATGTCGTTGAAGGGCTCATTGATAATGAAAATTTCAGTGAACCGTTAAAAAATGAATTCGTTGAAAAATATTGGAACATTTATGATGATTTGAGGTTTTACTTTTTAAAAAATGCCGCGTAAGTAATATATATAGTGTAATTTATTTTTTTTGTTATCATCTTTTTTTTTAAAAAAATATATATATATATTTATATATTTATGTTTATGTATATATTTTAATTATCCCTTTTATTGCGTGTGTAATATATTATAGGAAAATCATTAATTTCGCCTTAGACAGTGGTAAAGCAAAAGATAAATCCGGTCCTGTTTCTAAGGTACATTTGCGGAATATAATTAATCATATAGATTACATCTAGAATGGTTTGTATAATTACCATTTATTTTTTTTGAATTTAGAAAAAAAGATTAGATGGAAGATCTGACGATAATAAGTTAAATAATTTGATGGAAAACACTTTTTCAATACTTGAAAATTTACGAACCATGCCAACTAATGCATCGGAAATTGATGAGTTTTGGATAGGACATCCTGCATTTCACAGTCAATTTTCAGAATCATTGGAAAATAAGCATGGAAACGATGATCATGAAGATGATTTTGATCATATGTCTTTTGATGATTTTGAATTCGATGAAGATTTTGAAAATCAGCAGACAAAGGAAGCCAAGGAATCTCAAGAAGCTTCTTCCGATAAGAAAATTAAAAAATCTATATTGCTTCGATTATCAGAGCATAGACGAGTGTTTTCTGATTGTTGGATAGCATTAATGAAACTTCCAATGACACAAGAATCATACAGGAAAATCCTTTTAATCATGCATAGAAAGATAATTCCTCATATGCTACAGCCTACTTTATTAATGGATTACTTAACCGAATCATATAATGCTGGTACTGTATTAAGAAGCTTTAAGTGCTTTATAACTTATAACGACGTAGTGAAGTAATGTCAATTTCCCAATTAGCTTACTCCTTGTGTAGTAGGGTAGATGATTAATGTTCTTCTTCATTGTTTGGGAAAAGCTTTGAGAGGAACTAAATACAATTGTAGCTGTTATTTAACTGAATTATTTCCTTTCGATATTACCGTTTGTTGAGCTTTTACAGTTCCTCGAGCTTTTAAATGCCAATTCCCCTTTAATTCTTCATCCTATTTAATTATTTTATGAAAAATTTTTTTATCTATATATACATATAAAGGTGGCGTTATTAGTCTTTTGGCACTTAATGGTCTTTTTACTCTTATAAGTGAACATAATCTGTAAGTTATTTATTAAATAAATTAGAAATTCTCTTTTAATCATTAACATGATACTTATTTATTGTCTACTTATAGGGATTACCCAGACTTTTATACGAAACTATATAATTTATTCGATCGTAATTTGATGCATGTAAAATATCGTTCAAGGTTTTTCCGACTGGCTGATCTTTTTCTTGCATCCACGTGTGTATTAATTATATTTTGTTCGGTTTGTATTCAAAAGTTTTTTTTTTAAAAAAAAATAAATACCTAATTTATCTTTCTATATTTTTCAGTCATCTTCCTGTTCAATTAGTTGCGGCATTCATCAAAAGAATGTCACGACTTTCATTGACATCTCCACCACATGGCATTGTAATATTGATACCTTTGATTTATAATTTAATTAGACGGCATCCAAGCTGTATGGTTTTAATACATCGTTCAAGTGAACAGGTCTATAAATTAGGAACAAATAGTAAGTATCTACAAGTAGAATTAATAAATTTATTATGATGATTTAATATAAATTTGTTTATTTCTTTTAATTACAAACTCATTTTTAGGTTCAGATATTAATGCTTCAAATCATTCAGATCCTTACAATTTTGATGAGCCAGATCCTATGAAGAGTAACGCGATTGCAAGTTCTCTGTGGGAGATGAAAGTAATTATTTTAATAATAATAAACTTTATTTGTGTAATAACGTATTAATTTTATATAACCTATACCCTGTTTTAATTTTAATTTAGACCTTACAAAACCATTATTTCCCTAATGTTGCAACTTTAGCAAAGATCTTTCAAGACAAATTTACAAAACCTTCTTACAACTTGGAAGATTTTTTAGATCATACTTATTCAACGTTGATTGAAACAGAAACAAATCGTAAATATAAAAAGAACAAGACTCCTGCACTTGCATATGAAAGACCAAGTTATATATTTCCAACGGAAGAAAGCATTGAATTGTTTGATCATAAAGGTAAATCAGAAGAGTTGGAAAGTGACGAGAGGGAATTAATATTAGAAAATATGAAGAAAGGATGGGAGATATGGGAATTCTGATTCATGATTTAAACATTTATCTGTATTAAGAATAATTTATTAAGTTTATTTTTATATTTTTTTTTTTAAAAATCGAAGAAAATTTGAATAAAATAAATAATTTGTCCTTAATATTTTATTACATTGGATTAATGATTTCAAGTTGAACCGTGAATCCCTAATTTGTTCAGTGATTTTTCACCCTCTTCTTCCCATTCTTGTTTTGTAATCCACCATGATTGTTTATCTTTCATAATATTAGACAAAACAGCACCACCAAGGAAAACCATATGTTTACGCCTGGGCGGATCTTCAATTTTAATTTTTAGTTTCTGGTTATTCATTAAAAAAATATTAGAGGGTTAAATATAATAAAATGTAATTGCATACAAAGCCAATCATATTTAAAATTTTACCTTTAATATTGAATTATCTTTCTTCGCTACATTAATCAAATACAGCTGTTTAAGTTCTTTTTCAAGACGACTTGGTAAACCAGGGTACATAGATGATCCTCCAGATAAAACAATATGCCTATATAATTCAGAACGAACATCTACAGGTGCATCTTGAATAGCTTCGAAAAGCATTTCTGCAACACCTGGCTTTTCTACATCAATCAAATGAGGCTGGAACATGCACTCGGGAGCCTCAAATCGTTCGGAACCAACTTTGATGATTCGGCCATCAGGTAACGTGTAATTTTCAACGAGGACAGTGGTTTCAGTTGCCAATTTTTGATCTAAAGGAATATCATAACTAATTTTTTTTTTTGATATTCATCACATTAATGAAATTTTCCTTTTATGAAGGTAAACCTTGAAATTTTACATTACCTTACATAACAAAGTTTCTCTTTAATTTGTCTAACAGTTTCAAAATCCGCTGTTCGATTGAAAGCATAACCTCTTAACAAAAGTAACTTTATAAGATAACGCGTCACATCCCGTCCAGCAACATCTAATCGACGTGTTTGATGTGGCAAGGCGAATCCATCATAAATTGGAACAATGTGTGTCACACCATCACCAGAATCTACCACGACTCCGGTAAGAAGACCTTTTTTTATCATCATAAGAGAGAAATTGAGTGCAAATTTCTTGAAAACATCCTTAT